GACTCTGATAAAAAGTTAGTTGTCGGCTAGAGTTTGCACTTGGGTAGATACAAGTGTTCTTCAGGGAGAAACACAAGAATAGGCTCTATCATGCCAATTAAGGAATCATCACATGGTTCTAGTTTGTCAATATTCTGGTAATCTCAAGCTCCCAATGTAGCCTAGAAAATCTAGAATGAAAACAAATCCAAGGGTATTTGTACTCACTTCCAGAAGCATATCCGTGTAAGGATTCTTGTATTCTTACTCAGTTCTGCCACCTCAAAAAATACCGCAGGGTATTGTGTTCCAAAGTACACTATACCCACGGAATACTCTCCCAACAAATGTTATTTACTAATAAAGAAATTACCAAGACGGATTTCCCAAACTTATCTGACCATAGGACACTGTCCCCCCCTTTCTTTATATCTCTTGTTATCCTGAGGATAAGTGTTCCTAGAAACAGACTGGAAAAGTTGTTCCATTAAAACAATATTATAAAGTACTTAAGAGTATTGGGCATGGCATCAGGCTGCCTAGATTTAAATTTTTCACATAACAGCTGCTGACCTTGGGCAAGGTACTTAGCTTTTCTCTGCTTTGGTTTCCTCTTCTGCAAAATGAATATAACACAATTTACCTACTGCTTGGGTTTGTTTTCAGGAATAAAGGAGAATATGTATTTAGTGGAGTGCTTAGCACAATGCTTACAATAGTAATCTTCAGTCAGTGCTAGATCTCAACACTTTTATTATACCCAGCAGTATGGCTAAACCCAGTGGGGAGGTCCTTTCCAAAGGAGATATCTTTTGTAGGTCTGGGCTAGTCCCAGATTCGTTTCAGGACTCCAGCCATCTCTAGTTCTACCCTTTAGGCTTCCATTTCACTGGAGGCTGTTCATTTTCTTCTCTGTTACTCTGAATTGCATTTCCTGGGGCTTTTCCAAGAAAGACTTGACCAGAGCCTTAGGGAAGAAAACCTTCTTCCCAGATGGGTCCCCACTTCTAAGAGAGAACCCACTGCATTGGAAATGACTGCATAAAGCTCTAGCTACAGTGGAACTTGAATCAAAGCCCTGGCAAGCCTTTGGCTGTCTTCATGGTTGTATTCTGGGCCAGAGAGGCTTGGTGACTCCTGGGCAACTCTTCCAACTCCTTACCTCTGCCCTGTTGTTTCTGTTAACAGGGTGTTTATGAGAATGACAATACCAAAACTCTTTTCTTTTTCATTTCTTTTTTGGGACTGGGGGTAGGGGAGTATTTGATGGCTTTTGCTTGATTATTGAAGTAACACACACTTATTACACAAAAATCTAACATTATATAAATATACCAGGTAAAAAGTGAATCTCTCCTGTAATTCCACAACCCCTGCCTCCCCTCATAATCCCAAGACTGCTACTGTCAACAATTTTCTTCTCATTTTTAATGACTGGCAGAACTAGAAGCTCTGTACTCTGCTGGGAATACTTCATTCTGCACCGTTCGCCTCAGGAATTTCTATTTATCTTTATAAAAGAAAGTTCAAATAACATCTTAGTGAAGTTGCTCTGACCCAGTCAAGCCATGTTGGTCCGTCTCTTTACCAGGTGTCCAAAGTAATTCGTACATCCTACATTCAGAGAACTTACCACAATTTCACTGCAATTTTTGAATTAAATGTCTCTCCTGCTTCAAGGACTGAAAGGGCCATTTCTCTTTCCTCTTGGGTGCAAGGCATCTGATACATGAACAAGCAGTCAATGCACAAGTATTTGTTGAGTGAATGAATGAAGAAACATACCAATAAAATATTTTTCTAAAACATAGACTTTCAAGCTCTATAGTAATCATGGTCAGGAGGCTCAACATTTACATTTTTTCTGGAAAAATGTTTCTTACATGTCCCACATTCCAACAACCAGGTAATACTGTTAATTCTCATATCTTTCATTTCTTTAGACCTGAAAACTCAAAATTCTAACTTCACAGCAAATGATACAGTTGGAAGAATTTGGGATGGATGGTAGTTTATTTTCTAAGTGCCAAATGCGCATTTTGGAGCATCATTGGCCATAGGCTTTGGGCACTGACACCAGAACATTCCAGGAAATAACATTTCAAATAAACAGTTTCAAGTCCAGTAAACCACAAACACAGAAAAGTACTCAACAACACGTCACAGCAAATAGCCTTCTGTAGACGGTTACTCGGGAATGGCTGATTATATTTACAAAGCACAAATAACTCTTCTGTTAGATTAATTGAATATAATTTAAGCTGAAGGCTTGAGTGAAAAAGTGAATCTATAAGAGTGATGAGAGGGGAAGACAAAGAAGAAGATACCAGAAGGATGAATCTTAGAAAAATATTTCCAAATATCAGAGATCCCCACGGGACCAACTCTTCAAATTAACAAGCTCCACTGAGGGACTCTGACATGCTGCATGACACATCATCCAAGGAATAACATCCAAAAGGAGTCTCATTTTTCTTGGAAAAAGAGATTGCCACAGAGCTTTCACATTTTACCAATTAAACAGATTGGATTCCATGTAATTAAGTAATATAATTATGAACTTATTTCTTGGCCTCAAGCCCAAAGCTGTATTTCTAGTTCAAGTATATCAGCAATTTTCATCCAGAATTCATACATCACATGCTGAACCTAGCTCTTCATATTAAAATACGTAGGCAACCTACAAATAGAAATCCACAATTTCAAAATTAAAGAGTAAGACTCAATGGGCGCAATCACAGAAAGTGAGGTGCAGAGGTAGATACTGGGCATTAAACATAAGCAGGATATAGAAGTGACCAGGAGAAATTTAAGACTTCTAAAAATTTAGTATGAAATGAAAAAAAGTGGAGAGGTCAGTAGGTTTCTATCGTACAAGGGATGGTGACTTAAGTAGAAAAGGGAAAGGATATTTTAGGGATACATAGGAACTGGCCCTAAAGTTACATTAATATAGCAAATATACAAAGTTAGGAGGCAAAGTAATCACTAATGGGGAGGGAGGTAAACTAAATTATAATCTTCTCTTACATTAAAAAAATGGTACTGTCAGAATCATGCTTATTAAGTTATAAAAGTTAACATTTATTGATAACTTGGGTTGGCCCAGCCCACGTTCTAAGTATATTCTGTGAATAGCTTATTTAATTTTCAAAGCAACTGTATGAGATAGGAACTATTATTATCCCATTACACAGATGAGAAAATTGAGGCACAGAGAGGTAAAGTAACTTGCCTAAGGCCACACACCTAAGAAATTGTAGAGCTGAGATTTAAACCCTGGCAGTCTGGCTCCAGAATCCTATGTTTTTAACAATATACTATGGTGCCTCATAACGCCTACTCAAAAGAAATATTACTCTTTATTTTAGAGGTCTATTCACATCTTTATATAGACTTTCAGAAATCTTTTGGAGATTTAAGTCCTGAATTAAAGAGACTGGTCACTAGCTATCAAAAGCAACTGAAGTCAATGTACTTTGAGAACCGGTAAAAGATGCTCAATTCACTTTTGCACGGTATTTGACACTTGTCCATGCAATTGAATTCAATTCAATTAACAGTGATTTAGGGTCCCATGCTGAATACCAAAGAAGTAAGATTCAAAGCTTAAAGAAGATACAATTTTTATTCCAATCTAGTGCAAATGAAATACTCTGAAGCTTACAGTTGAATAGAAATGAGGAAAATGAATCCAGAGCATTCAAATGACTTGCTTAAGGCCTAAAATGTAGTTTGTAGCACAAAGTGACCTAAAGTCCAATTCAAATGGGTCTAAAGAAAGTTTTTCTTTTTACTCCACCACTGTGCTTCCAATCAAGCTGGTCGAACATACTGAAATAAAATTAATGTCCAAAATCATTATCGGTGCTTTTTGAAGAGGAAAAATGTTTGACTTTCTCCTGCTTTCCTCTAGAACTCACTTCATTCTGGACTGATATGAGAAACAGAAAGAAGAGATAGCCAAGGGAATATTTTTAAGAGAAGAGGAGGAGAGAATTAACACAGCATCTCCCAGAGCTTCTGTGAAGGAATGTGTGATTTTCAGGTTTATTTGCTGGATAACTTCTCTCTCAAACCTTCCCCAATTCTAAAATTAGATATTGAAATTACGTCTATATTGATAACTATGTGTATATGTATGTGTGAAGGTTACCCACTCCATTCTAAGAGCCTTAAGAACAAAGGAGATGCTTTAAACCTACATGCCCAGGTTTTACAAAATGCTTTATAAAAAACAAAGTAGGTGGTCAAAATCTTTTCTGTCATAGTGTATATACAGTGTAAGATTTCCAATTAGTTTGTTTTCTTTAACAAAATGACCCTGTATTCAGGTTACCTAGATAATTTTATTAGTTTATATTAGTGGTTCTCAAACTGGGGCAACTGCTTCCCCTGGCCCCCCAGGGGACATCTGGCAATGTCTGGAGTCATTTTTGGTTATCATAACTTGAGGTTAGGGGAGGGTGCTACTGGCTTCTAGTGGGAAGAGGTCAGGGATGCTGCAAAACATCCTGTCATGCATGGGACAGACCTTGCAACAAAGAATTATCTGCCTGGATTCCTTATTGTGGCAATGGAAATCATTCTTTCTATCCTAGGTTACACTTTTATTTCTATGATGGAAAAATGCCTGGCCTTTATCCATTGTCCTAATAGTCTTATAATGTGTTAAGATGAATAAGGGCAAGGAAGTAGGAGGTGCTGCTGATTTTTCTTTGCATTTCGTCATATTTTCCTTGCATATTTTTAGCTGGTGTGGTTATGGTTGCTTCAGTTTTATTTGCTTGTTCATTTTCCCCAGTGGCGGATAACAACATTTGACACTTTAGATGTCTGGCGTACACATGAATAAAAATTTCTTTAAGAGGATAAGTTGTTTCTTTTCTGGGAATCAACTGACCTCAAGAGGATCTTTGAACATACCATGGTAACTAATCTGTTAAGTATTTTGTGTTTTGAGTTAAATATGTCACTACTGAGATTCTCACACGTTAGTTAACAATTTTCTAAATATTTACCAAGATCTTTAATAAGAGAGAGTGCTTCCCATGATATAAAGGCTCCACCGCCATCATCCATGGCACCCTGCCCAACATCCCAGCTGTCCAGATGTCCACTGACCAGTACAACCTAGAACAAATAATAGAAAGACAAAAAATAAAACTAAGCAAAAATGACATCAAAGAGCAAACATTTATAGGTATTCAAAATATAAAAATGGAACTTTTATATTTTCTTTTCTATTTTTATGTCTTTAAAGATATGTGTCATTATTAGTGGAAAACTTGGTAAGGAGGAATTATATAAGGGGTCTAAGGCTATCCTAATAGTAATAAAAATCCTCACTTTGTACCTTTATTTATTAATATAATTTGACTACTAAAGAAATTGGCTTATTACTGACAGATATTTGATAAATTTATTATATGGCTTAAAACCTAAATGACACAAAAATGAAGCTCGAAACTTCAACCACATTCTTAACTGTCCTAAATTCTAGAAGAAACATAATAAACATGTATTGAATTGATTTAAATGAGAAAATGAGAACAATATTTTTTAAAAATTGTTTTATGCATTAAAGATTGATGTTGAATAAATAAATAGCTGGATTTCAAAACTAGATCCAATTGAACAGGAGAACTTTTAAGGGAAATTTCAACTGACATTAGTATTAAATAAATCTAGAAATTATATTACACATTTTAAATCATCACAGGTTTGAAATTTTTGTCAGGAAGTATTAGTAATTCTAAGACAATATAAAAAAAATTCACTGAAACTAAATTTTGTGGACACATTTCAAACAAGTTAAAAACCAAGTATAGTGATGCTGGGGTATATAGAATATTGGTTTGAAAAACAACGTATCTTGATCATTATAAAACATACAAATATGGAGTCAGATGAATTACATATCTAAAGAGATTTTAGAGGACGGCATAGAATAACTTTGCCAATTTAGAGTAGGCAAAGATATCTTAAACTGGATACAAAAAGTATAAACCATAAAAGAAAAAATAATAAATTATATTTTGAGTTAAACATGTCACTACTGAGATCCTCACACATTGGTTAACAATTTTATAAATATTTACTAAGATCTTTAATATGTGAGAGTGTTTTTTTAAAATTAGGAATCTCTAGTCATCAAAAGACTGCATTAAGAGAGTGAAAAGGTAGCCCACAGAAAAACAGAAAATATTCAGCATATATATACACATGAACAGACAGTTCACACAGAAAGATATGCAAATTACTAATAATCATATAAAAAGATACTCAGTTTCATTATCATCAGGGAAATATCAATTAAACCACATTCCATACATATCAACCAGAATGGCTAAAATGAAAAAGACAAAATATGCCAAATATTTGTGAGGCGGTAGAGCAACTGGAATTCTTGTACGTTGCTAGTGTAAGTACATTCAACCACGCTGGCAAAACTGGCTTATCTATTAAATCTGAACATACACAAAACTATGACCCAGTAATTCTACTCCTCATTATATATTCAACAGGACTTGTGTGTGTGTGTGTGTATACTTTAACCAAAAAAGATGTACTGGAATGTTCATAACAGAGTATTGATAATAGGCCTAACCCTCCTAAAAAAAGAAAAAGAAAACTTGTCAAATGTCTGCTGACAATAGAATGAACACTGAATACATTGTGTTGTATTTATCAACGGGACACTCCATAACAATAAGGTAGAAATGGAAAATGAACAAACACAACTCATGATAAATTTATATGAGTCTCATAAACATAATGAAGAATGAAAGAAGCCAAGTAACACATGATGTATAATTCCATTTATATAAAGTATAAAAACACACAAAACAGGAGAGTGATTACCCTTGGTGAGGAGGGTTAGTGACAAAAATGGGGTATGGGAAACCTTTTGGGGTGCTGGTCATGTTGTGCTTTCTGATCTGGGTAGCAGTTACACAGGTGTACTCAGTTTGTGAAAGTTCACCATATACACTTAGGATTCATGCACTTTCTCTGAGAATATTATACTTCAATAGAATTTTTAAAAAAGTTTTACAGATTGATGTGTATGCACAACATGTACTAAGTAAACCAAAGTTGAACCAATCTTCTTGATGATTAAAATAAAAATTGCCCATTACTTTGGGAAAGCAGGACTTTGGGGTTAAAATATTAGGGTGACCCTTTGCACTGAATGATTCACTGAGCAGCTGCGGGATCTCCCATTGACTTACATACAGACCCAGTCTAGTATGACTTCATTGTAGTTACAAACAAGCACAATCCCCCAAACTAACAAATGGCTATGTAATGAACCCAAATGGATTGTTTCTAAGGGGGAAAAATAAAGAATAAAGAAAAATTCATGTTGCAATAGCAGGAACTTCTGATTCAGAAAGAAGTGGTGTAATCCCATGTGGGACAAACAGCCCAATTAGTCAACATTCTCATGACTCTCAGAACATTTTCCTAATGACGTTCCAGTGGATTAAAAGTGTCAAAATGTGCTTTAATAAACTTTTTCTCAGATAATACATAGGAGCAACTAAGTTAAGGAAGCTATTATTTTATCCTTCAGATTTCTTTCAGAATAACTGAGATTGTTTACAATCATACTTCTTTATGTTTTCTCCATTCTGTAATCTACTTAATGTTACTTAAACTAGTAGTTAAAAAATTGGAAAGATGGTTTTTGAATGATAGGAAACTAAACAATATTCCATAGGATAAGGTCTTTGGTATAGTGCTATAGAAGAATGATTACATATTCTTTGGATTATCAGAGCTTATTTCAGTATATATTTTTTAATCAGAAAAAAAAAAAACTGGGGCAACAATGAAATAGTAGTAGTAATTTTAATATCTAGTGATTTAAAACTAGGTAATAATAAAAAGCTATTGCTAATTCAGTAGCAATGTGAATGAACTTGAATTTTCCAAATATAAGAGCTTCTGCATACACTTAGAAAATAGCAGTGCAGGAGGTTTCACTCAAAATGGAATGTGGCTAGCATTCCTTAATGTTGCCTCACAAAAGATAACCCAGAAAAATATACCAACGCGCAAGGCTACTGAAAATCTCCCTTATGTCAGGGTCAGGCATGTTATAATAAACCTGGATCTGATTTAGACAAACAAAACAAAACCAGACTACCCAGAAATGCTGTAAACTGCAGTTTCATGAAAAATATCACCTGATAAATGCTAGGAAAATCACAGTCCCTTCACTGCCTCTGTTGCCAGATCCGGATTCCTTTGAGCAAAAACATGGCCTAGAATCAACAGAGAAGTGGGCACCTGCCCATCTGCCCCTTGTGTTGTAAGTCCTGAGGCACTCAAGGTACTGACCAATTCTTTTACCCCAACTTCCTTTTCACCACCATCTCTTCCAAATGCAGTAAAGAGTAAAAAACTACTCTGAAAACAGCAATAGCAGCTGAAACAAAACAACTAGAAAGGCAGAATGGGAACTCTAGTTCTTTGAAAGGTAGGGTTTGTTATTTGTGAGGTAGGCATTAGACTTGACTACCTTGGGAAGAGGGCCTTGGGAATAGGGGAAGAATACACCACAGTCGAACAGAAATGCAGTGGCTGAAAGCCTGCTAGCAGAAGGAACCAGAATGGCAACAGCATACATCCACCCACAGGCCAGCTGTAGGTCTGAGAGTAGAGAAGGACGAAATCAAAGATGTGCAGAGAGCAGCCTGAGGACAAGCCCCTCTGTTACTGGTGCATATGAAGACATCGAGTCCAAATGGATCCACCTGATTATGAGATGAAAATGAGACATATGAAAAATATGGCAGTACTAGGGAGAGGAAACAGCCTCAGAGGACTTGCATTCTTATGAAAATGAGCTAATGCAAGATACTGAAGAACATTTCACGCTCTCTGGCATTCAGTCATGGTTTCCTTCAACAATTTTTATTGAGTTCCCACTATGTGCTAGAGATACCGAAATGAATAAAACAAGCAAATATTCTGCCTTAATTGAATTTAGATTCTGGTGGGAAGATGGAAAATAAATAAATACAATATAATGATAGTTTTAAGTGCAATAGAGAAAAATATCTTTATATCTACAGTGTGGAGTAGATTTTTAAAATAGAATAAAAATTCGAAGCATGAATAGTAGATGTATAAATTTAACTATCATAAAATGAAGCCTTTATGTTCATCAAGAGAAGTCACAGAATGAAAGGAGTTGCTAGAAATTGGAAGACATTTCCAATATATATAACTCAAAATGATTTATATTCAAAATGGATAAAGAATTCTTATAAATCAATAAGAAAAAGATAAGCGATCTAAAAAGCAAATAAGCAAAACACATAAAGAGGTATTTCACAGAAAGAAATTATGAATGGACAGCAAACATTTGAAAAGATGACCAATTTCATTACCGATCAGGGAAATGTAAATTAAATCCTTAATAAGATATCACTTTGCAACTATCTGGCAAAAAATTTAAAATCACACAAATGAGATCTTGGCAAGGAGGCCGAGCAATAGGAATTCTTATCCACTCCTGGTAGGAGCAGGAAATTGTTAAAATCATTAAGGGAAAACAATTGGACATATCCTTATAAAGTTGAACATATGTACATTCCACAATCCAACAATTCCACTTTTGGTGTAAACATTAGAGGACTTCTCATACCAGGAGACATGGACCAAAATGGTCATATAGACACATTCAGAAGTTCTCAAACTGAAAAAACACAAATGTCCATCATCAGTAGAATAGATAAATAAATTGTGGAATAGTCATACAATGGACTATTACAAAGTAGTAAAGTGAACGGAAAATGACCTAGTGATGCATTATTAAATATAAATGAATCTCAAAACAAAAATAGGCAAAAAAACAAAAAAAGACAAAAGAAATAGAAGAGTACAATTCTATAATGTAAATTTCAACTAAACTAAATAATATAATCTTCAGTAATACATACAAAGATAAAGATAGTATAACTATGAAAAAAAGCAAAGCAATAGTATACCGAAGTTAGGATTGTGTTTATGTCTAACGGGGGTTAGGGCAGACAGGAGGAGGTGATCAGGTACGGGAACACAGTGACCTTCAAAGACACTGATAGTGTTCTGTTTCTGCAACTCAGTGGTGAGAACAT